ACTGCTCCCTCTGCCCAGTGATATGAAAGCAACCAGAGGGGACAGCAAGGGCTGTGGCTGAGGCCAGTAATTGTTGACAGACTGAAGTTTTTCAGGCAGTCTGTACCCCCTTTTTGGTTTGATTATGTTTATGTCTTGTTTTGCAGTACTGGGGGTTGAACCCTGGGCCTCCATACTGAGCTACATTCCCAACCATTTTTAATTTGAGGCAGGATCTTGCTAAATTGTCCATTCTGGGATCAAGCTTAAGATTTTCCTGCCTGAACCTCCCAAAAGCACTGAGATTACAAGTGTGCAGCGCCATGCCCAAGCTCAACAAAATGTTAGTTTGTATTGCAAAATTTTTTTTTTTTTTTGTCTTTTTGAAACAGGGTCTCACTATGCAGTTCAGGCTGACCTTGAGCTCACTTTGTAGCCGGCTGGCCTCGAACTTGCCACGATCCTCCTGCCTCAGCCTCCCGGGTGCTGGGGTTACAGGCGTGCGCCACCATACCCGGCTTGCAAAATACTCTTTTGGGCTCTTCCCAGCCATCTAAAAATCAAAACATTGTTCTCGCCTCTTGGGTCTGAAGTAGAGCATGGGGTGGATTTGGGCAGCTGGGCATTGGCTGTCAAGGGGCAAATCGGGGATGTCCACACCAAGACTAAGGAGTAGGCACAGCCAGTGCAGAGCCCTCTCCAGAGCGGGTGTGAGCCAGCGCTGGAGGAGCAGCTGGCTGCCTGGAGACAGTGCAGGGGAGTGAATGTCCCAGACTGGGGGCGGGGGGCCAGCAAGCACAGAGGGCCCAGGCACCTGTGACCTTGACCTGTGACCTTGACCTTGACCTACTTGGTGACTGCGAAGGGTGTGTGTGGCTGGATGGCGTGAGTGGGGCGAGCGCGAGCCGGGTCCTGTCCAGGGCAGCGGCCTGTGGCTTGCGTGGCTGCCCGCAGCTCTCCCTTTGATGCCCGGATGGGGGCAGTGTTGCGAGGGCCGGTCCCTGTGCTCCTGTGGCCGTGGTCTCGGGCTGTGCTTGGGGCTGGAGAGGATCTAACAACTGCATCGGTGCTCTTTGCAGCTGCTGGGCCGTCATTTGTCGCTTCGTTAGTGGGAGAAAAAACGCCAGCTCCCTGCTCCTGCACGTGCGCGTGCCTTTCCTACTCCGGCTTTCTCCTGAAGCCCAGCGTGTTGCCTGGCCACAGCCCCGGGGGAAGAAGCTGCCCCTGCAAGAAGTGATGTGCAGCCCCGGGGGAAGAAGCCGCCCCTGCAAGAAGTGATGTGTAGCCCCGGGAGAAGAAGCCGCCCCTGCAAGAGGCGATGTGCAGCCCCGGGGGAAGAAGCCGCCCCTGCAAGAGGTGATGTGCAGCCCCGGGGGAAGAAGCCGCCCCTGCAAGAGGCGATGTGCAGCCCCGGGGGAAGAAGCCGCCCCTGCAAGAGGTGATGTGCAGCTCCTGCAAGCTGAGCCCCTTCCCTAGACTGTCACACTTGTCACAGCCTCCTCGGCTGCTGGCACCTCGTCCTCTCATCCTCCACTGGCGTCCAGCTGTCACCCTTCTCAGCTGCCGCCCGCTCGGTCTCACGGCCTCTGTCTCAGCCGTGTGGTATTGTTCACGTCCACACATCATGCTTGTGCGCGTGTGTGCGCGTGTGTGCGTGTGTGCCCCAGCTGAATGTGAGCTGTGGAGAGGACCGCTGCCTGCTGTCAGCCTCTGCGCCCACCCAGCCTCCCCACAGCAAAAGACTGGAAGAGGGGATTTGCTGACTCCTAGGTGGAGAAATAGCTTTTTAAAAATGTGAATGAGTTCTACTGTTTCTTTGAATCATCAGTCCAGGCACTTGACTCAGATTTGATCTGCCGTGTAGATCCTTCCCTCCCCATACCCGACTGCCCTTCCTCCACGTCCCCCAGAGCACTGGCGGCCACACGCGTGAGGAGACACCTTTCTCCCCAGTGCTGTGTTGGTTTGTTTTGAGAAGGGGTCTCTCGTGTCGCCCGGGCTGGTCTCTGGGGCTCCAGCCCGGGGTAGTGGAGTCTACGGGCATGTGTCACCGCGCCTGGCTTCCTTTTAGACCTAATGGTGGTATGCGATACCCACGTTGGCGCCTTGGCCCACAGGCCTGCAGTGGGCGAGCGCACCTGGCTCAGGACATGGGGTCCCCACTGTGGCGTGTCGTAACTTTCGTCTGAGTTGGGGGTTTTTAGGGACCTAACAACTTTGAATCTGTGAATGAGGAAGGGGGGTACGCGATGGGGGATGGTGAACCTGGACGAAGCACCCGGTGGGCCTTGCTCCTTCTTAGCACTGTGATCGGGCCTGGGACAGGAATGGCTGGGGCCTCCAGCCTGGACCATCCAGGGTGACCTTTTAACAAAATCCGACGCGCTTGCCACCTGGTGGTCACCATGAGAACTGCAGACTCCAGGGAAGCGGGAGAACCGAGCCAGGTACCAGGGACACGGTGGTGGACAAACCAACTGCAATCTGTTCTCATTGATCGGGCATTCTCCCTGGGTAAGAGAATCCTAGGCAGGCTTGCTGGGGACAGGCTCTGAGTGGAAACGGTGGCGGGGTACGGAGCTGGGCATCTCAGGGAGCAATTCTTAATGCTGTGTGAAAATTAGAAGTACCTGGGAAGATTGTAAAAAACCCAGTAAATCGATGCTACTACATCCAGGGAAATGACAACTCTCTGCGGTGGGCCTGACGCGCGGGCGCTTCTGAGCCTAAGTACCACGTAGGTGTATCTGATTAGCTGAGCCTGGGTAGCATCTGGTTGCGTCTGATTGGCGGAGCCTGGGTAGCGCCTGGGTTGAGCCTAGGTCACATGTCTACATGCTAACGCAAGGGCCATCGAGAAGGTGAGATTTAGGCTACTGGTGCAAAGTCACAGGGGGAGAAGTTGTCCAAACAGGGCCTCGGGTTAGCCAGGCCTGGTGGCCCACACCTGTAATCCCAGCACTCCAGGATTTGGCCTGGGGTGCCACCAGGCCTGGCTGAATTTTAAAATTAGTGTTTGACCACAGCTGACTATCACCATTCTCCAGTGAACTTCTGGATATAGAAATACATCCCAACACGTCCCCAAACAATTTAAAAGACCACGACGATGGTACTTACTAAAATCGCAGCGGCCCACGTTTAAAGTCGGGCAGAGTGCCGGGTCCAGAGTCTCCAGCCCCGGGCTTGCTGGTCACCAGCGGCCCCGTGCCTCCCGCGCAGACAGACACGAGTCAGCTGAGGCCCGGTCACTGCGGCAGGTGACCTTACCTTTAACTCGGGCCTGACCCGGCCATCCTCAGTGAGGTCTTGCTTTATCGCTGGTTGCCTGGTCTCTGCCGGAGGCTGTGCCCCGCTGTGGGGTCGTCCTGCCCTCTGGTGGTCACGGGTCAGCACAGCATCGCTGGAGCTGAGCTTGCAGGAGAAATAAACCGGCGCTTTGAACTCGGTTGCCCTTTTACCAGAGTAAGCGATGGACTCACGCAACAATACCGCTGCACCTCAGAAACACGCAGGGTGAGAAAGCCAGGCACCAAGGGGCACCTGTACGAGCGCTCGCAGATGAAGTTCTGGATCAGACCCAGCGGAATGCTCTTGGTGACAGCGCTGTCTGGGCACGCAGATATAGGTGGAGGGGCACGAGGGAGCTAAGGCATTTGCCGTAGAGACCACGAACTTTTGTTTCTGTCGGAACCGGCTTTTGAAGATGCGTCACTGAAACGGGGAAGCGGCTCGCCATCCAGGTGATTTAATTTCAGGGGTGAGAGGAGGTCGCCGATTTCACCTGAAACCTTTTCCTGTGCGAGGTCTAAAACTCGATTATCATTTCTAATGAAAGCCTACAAAAGGCAGGATCCTTTTTTAAGTAATCCGCACTCTGATTCTAAACAGAATTTGCACTGATAGTTTTGGTGGCGGCAGGCAGGGATGATCATAAATGATCATGATCATTTATGATCAGATCACAGACCTGATCATAAATGCGCATGTGCTAGGCAAAGCGGGGTGGGAGGATCCTGGAGTCCTCCTCATACGAAGGATCCCGATCCTGGTCCAGTCTCCGTCCCACTCCGGCCAGAAGCCAACCCCGCAGGAGAATGCCTCCACCCATCCTCAAAGACGCCTGCCCAGCAGAGCACTGTGAGACGCACCCAGATCGTTATGGCAACGTTAGAGATACGTCATTTCCAGCCACCAATCAGCTCTATCCATCCAGCTACCATCCCTCCCTTCCGCTTTGCCAACCACCCACCTAACCATGAAAGCCTCTGACACCCACACCTCCAACCACTGTCTCACTACTACCCACCACTCTGGAACCATGAATCACTCCGTCCATTTACTCATCCAAACAATTGCCCATTCTTCTGTCCACTCGCTCACCCACCTACTGTCTGTCCAAGTTTCCAGCCGTTCACACGTTCAAATGACAACTTACTCCTCTTGTCACACAACCAGTCACTCATCCAGGGTTCATCTAGACACCCTGATCTATCCAACCATCTGGTGAGTCATCCCAACACTCACCTACCCATTCACCCATCCAGCCCCCAAACACACAGCTACTCACCCACTTTCCGATTGCTCAGCCATCCAATCTCCTGACCAGTCATCCATCCACCACTACTCAATCATCCATTCATCCATCTGTCCGAATGGCCATTCACCCATACAATCACCCATCTGACTGCGGTTCCAGATATGCAGTCACGTGTCAATGGCAGGGATATATTTTGAGTATATTGTTAGATGATGCTATGGCTTGTGTCTAGATGGTCCCCCAAAGCCTCAGGCAGTCATAGGTGGGGCTTTTACAGAGGTGGCTGCATCCAGAGTGTGTGTTGCTGAGATTAGGGAGTGATTACTACATAGTTCTCGATAGGATTAAGGGTGTGAGTGGTACCTGGGTAAAAACATAAGGGACAGAAAGAGAGCTGTAATTGTTGCTTGTGGCTTGTTGCTTGCTGCTTGTATGCTTGTACTGCCTTCTGCCCACCATGAACTGTTTCTCTTCTTTGAAGCCCCCTTTCGATGCACCCTGCAGTGGAGCCAACTGATGATGGGCTGAAACCTCTACAAACTTTGTGCTAAATAATAAAACGTTTTGGGCTGGGGATATAGCTCAGTGGCATAAGCGCCTGCCTGGCAAGCGCAAGTTCCTAAGTTCGATCCCCCGTACCTCAAAGAAACAAACAAACAAACAAAAAACCTTTCCTCCTTTAACCTTGGGTGTCAGGTATTTTGTCTCAGCAATGAAAAAAGTAACTAAGTAGATGTGGCTACTTGGTGATACAATCTTATGGGGCCACCCTGTGTGCAGTCTTTGGGTGACTGACGTGCTATGTGGTGCCTGGCGTTGGCTCCATCCTTCCTCCTGTCCTATCTATCATGGATTGTGCTTGCTATCAGGCTCTGTGCTTTGGATACAGAAAGGAAACCAACCACACCCACCCCTAGGGAGCTCAGTGTGTGTGTGGTTGTGGAGAAGGACATTCTTTGATCAGAAAGCACTGAGGACACACAATGATTTGTTTATTTTTTGTTAGGATTTCCAAAGATAAGGCTCCATTATACAGCCTGGATGACTCAGTCGGTGAAAAATTGTATATATGTAACTGTTATATTAAAGTAAATGCGAATAGACTAAGACATGTTAACTTTTCACAAATCTGCCACTAGAGACCTTTGGATTAAGGAAATGTGTATGGTTATCAAGTTGACCAGGGGTGGACTGTAGTGGATTGATGACGAGTGGTCAATTTATAACCCCCAGCTGAACTGAGTAAGCGTGGTGCTGGGTGTGGGATGCCCACCTGGGGATTGTCGCCAGCAGCGTAAGAGGCAGAATTGGAGAAAGATAATCCTTTAATTACTAAAACCTTTGGTATCCGCCCATTTGTACTAGCTGCGCCTTTGGTTCTTGCTCAATAAAAGGTGACTGAGCTTGGTAATCGGGCTGCAGTCCTACAGGCTGTAAGCTCCCTGATCCCGGACTTTTGCCTCTCTGGTTTTTCTTGTCTCTCTTACTTTTCTTTTCATCCGCGGACATCTCGTTCTCGGGACCTATCACCCTGGCGTGGTGTCCCTCACCCGTGGGGACAGCTTCTAACAATGTGGGTTCCAGCTCTGAGATTCTGATTGCTGAGTCAGCTTCCATCTCCACGGTCACACAGATCAGCCAAGGGCTCAGCCTGGATCTCACCAACACAGATGGAGGAAGGAGGGTACATTTCTGCTTAATGTCCCACCATATGCGCCAGGTCCTAAGAGGTCCTCTGAGGCAGTAACAGCGCTCAGGACACCCCCGGGACCTCTCCAGATCCCCCCGCCCTGCCCTCACCCTGGATCCTTGACTCTTTGCCAGGTTTTAGGAAATTAAAGTCCTATCACCAGAATGGCAGTTGACTGTATTTTCCAAAGCAGCACCTTACCTGCTTACCTTAATTCTTTTAGGAATAGCTCAGGGTTACTGATTTTTTTCCTTTGGGGGACCAGCCCTCCCCAACTTTCTGCTCGCAAGAGAATCCAACCCTAAATCCAGCTTCATGGAGGTGGCCGTGACTCAAACGTCGCCAGTGAGATGCCACCCTGGACTTCTACCAGAACTACTGGGGCGCAGATGTCCTCGCTCTGGTCACACAGTTTTGCTGACAGATTCTTGGAGCTCTTTTGCTACCACAGGGCAGAGCCAGGAAAGTCACACAGGAGAGAGCTGTCGCCACCTGGATGCAGCCTCCAGAGAGACAACAGCGCCCCCCGCTGCCTCCTTCGGGGTAAGACAGGTTAAACTGGATTTTATTCTTCTGCCACAGAAGACGTCCTGAGAGAAACCCCATCTGGAAGTCCGACAGAAGGAATAAAGTCCATGCCACTTCAAAATGTAAACGTGATTTTATTTAATGCCTTTTATCCATCACAAAGTACAGTTTCCTTCCGCATTCCCTCCGCCTGGAAAACGGCATCGCGCGTAAGGCACCAGCACTGTCCAGGTGCCGCAGGGCGGGGCTCCGGAAACGACAGAAAGCGATAGTCTCCCCACAGTCCCCCATGTCCAAGAGTGATTGTCCCCCCAAAGCACAGCCTGGAGAAGAGAGTGCTTAAATTAGAACTGCGAACCATCCCGCATGCCAGGTTAAAAAAAAAAACAAACCCATCAACAGCTAAGGAAATCAACGACACAGGCACAAGCGCGTAATACCGGAGTCACGAGATTCGTCCATAAATTAAAAAGAGAAAAGAAAGAACCTGTTTCCTCCTCCTCGCCGGCCCTCCCCGGTCAGCAGGCCCTTGCTCTTGTGCCGAGAGTCCTGCAGAAGAGTCTGGACTCCACGCCAGCCCCATTCCCAGCGTCAAGTATTCCGAAGCCAGCGCTGGGGACTCAGCTGCTCAGAGCCCTCGTGCAGGATGGCTTCTGACGCGGCCACTGGACACGTCCTCTGGGTGCAGGGGCCCTGCCTGCTCTCCAGCGTCTGCGGCTCTTGGCAGGGAGCGAGGGATGGTGGGTGTGATGGCAGGTGCTATAAATACTCCAGCTCCAGGGCGTGCCGCAGCGCCTCCAGGTCGGCGTGGCAGGATATCCGCCAGAAAGGCATGTTGTGCTGGAACACAGAACAGTGGCCACGGGTCAGGGGGTGGGGGTGGGGAGACTCGGGGAACGGCTCTTTGCCAAACTGTGCCATGGAGAACCTTTGGGAGACCCATATCTGGGCAGCGCACCCCACCTCAGTGCTGCCTGGTCACCTCCGCTCCCGCAGTGATGACGGGATGCTCGGTGCATGCCGGGAAGCACCTGCAGTCCACCTTCTTCTAGTCTTGTCAGGTAGGCAGATGTTCAAGCCAGGAGTGCCCAACCTGCGGCCTGCACGAGGCCCCAGAGAGCTGGTGATGCAGCCCTACAAGACTGCACACTTTTTTGGGGGCAGTACTGGGGGTTGAGCCCAGGGCCTTGACACTGAGCTACATCCCCAGCCACTTCTAAAATTTGGAGACAGGGTCTCCAAAGTTGCTAAATTGCTTAGCCCCGAGCATAGAGTGCGTGTGCGGCGGGGAGCGGTGCAGTGCTAATGGGAACCCACGTGGATCAGCCGGGACCTGCCCGGGCGTGAAGCAATTCCCTGCGACAGTGTGTGTCTGTGAAAACACATGTTTCCTGTCATGGAGCACATGCCAGTTTTTTGTTTAATTATTAAACTTGGGCTTGTGTTTTTTGTAAAATAACTTTTTAAGTTAAAATATTACAAAAGGAAGTCTGTTACTGCGCATGCGTGAACTGTATTCTCTATTTTATCTGTGGCTCAAGATGCTGAGGCCCAGGAACCTGTGCCCCCAGTCGAGTCCTGTGGCCATGCTTGGGGGCCCCGTGCCCCTCCACGGGACAGGCAAGGTGTCTCCAGGGTGGCAGATGGCGCCTCGGGAGCCATGGATGCCCGGAGCGCTCATGGTGATCCTGCTGCTAGTTCTCTGCTCCCGGTGTCCTTTTGTTCCCTGGGACCCGCCAGGCCCCCCTGCCTCCGGCTCTGCACATGGTACTTGCCCTGTTTGCTTCCTGTTTGTCCTCACCCCATCCAGTCCCTACCCCAGGCCCTTTTGTGCTAAGAGGGACTTCACAGACTTGGATAAGGGCCTGGGGCTGGGCTGAGGGCAGGGACTTTGTCCTGTTTGTCACTGTGGACACTCACGGGGCTTTCAAGGGAGGCTCAGAGGATGAAGCTAGGGTTGGGGGGTCGGAAAGGACTCCAGGGCAGTGAGCTTTAAGCAGGCCCTGGAGGACGGAGCGAGAGGCAGCAAGAAGGCTATTGGGAGAGTGTGAGGCCAGCAAGTGCAAAGGTCCTGAGGTGTCAGCTGCATTCCATAGCTCCTGCCACCGAGTATGTGCTCAGAAAATATTCGTGGGAGGAACGGAAAGAGAACAGAAGGAAAGGGAACTTTTCTAGTGAGCTGCTCTACGAACACAGCTTTTCCGCTTTTGTTCTGCAGCTTGTCCAGTTCCCAGCTCCAGGAAGCAGGATGCTCGCTATCCCGGGACACAGGTGCTGCCTCGTAGCCTGTCCTCGCTCAAGCCTTCCTTTCCCCACAGAGACGGATTCTGGTGGCCACCTGGCCCGGCCCGGCCCCTTTAATTCGTTTTTTCTGGGAGGGAAGGAGCAGAAGCTGGGGTGACTCCAGAGTCGGGGATTTATCGAGGGTGGAGCGCCGGAGCCAGGGAGCCCCTGAGGTGGAGATGAGATATTAACGGCACCAACACAGAGCCTGGCGGAGCCCCTTGACCAGGGCCCACACTGCACGCTGCTCAGGGGTCCCTGCTGGGCCTGATGACTCCCATTCATCAGCCCGGGACAGCCGGGGAGAGAGGGGATGCTGGCGGAGCGGGTACTAGGGAAGCTCGGAGTGTGCTGGTCTGGGTGGGTGGATGCCCCTGCTAGCTGGCTGAGGGCTGCCAACCCTCTGCCTAAAGCTTGGAAGTGCACCCCCATCGGGCGCTGGCCTCAGGCAGCAGACAGAGCTTGTCTCTCAGGGGCTCCCTTGTTCAGCCGTCTCAGCATGATGTGCCTGTACCTGCAACCTGGTCAGCGGGCTGGAGCGGCAGGGACTCTGCTGGGGTCAGGCTGTGCCCTCAGAGGGGAGCGGCGTCCCCGTTTCCCTTCCCCTTCCTGGTGGCCAGAACGTGAAAGGGTGGTGGGAGCCATTGTGGACTGTAGAGAAAGAGCAGCTGCTGTCTGGCATCATGGACAGCGCAAGGCAGATGCCATGGTACCTGGGTGTCTTGGCCTTATCGATGCCCCTGGGGCCTGGCCCGCACACCCTCAGCCCTGCTTAGTGATACCCTTCTCCCAAGGCTTGGAGCCAGCAAGAGCGTTGGTGGAGGCTGTGGACTCCGGGGTGAAGCAACCAGCCCCGCACGTCATTGTCTCATGAAAGAGGGATCAATGCCCTCAGGAGGGATCCCGGGCCGCCCTGACCTAGCTGGAAGGCCGGGATGGCAGCGGACTGGGGTTCCCTCCTCCACCTGTGCTGCCCAGGCGGAGGCACAAGGACGGGTCTGTCAGGAGGGGAAGAGGGGGAGCCTTCCAGGCCGGGGGCAGTGCCCCTCTCAGGACTCTGGGGACCCTCCCTTGTCTTCTGGGTTTCATCCACTGAGACCGGAAACAGTTTTGCATTTCCTTGGGATTTGCTGCCAGCCAGGAAAGCGGGAAACCAGGTCCCCCAAATTAAGCTCTGTGACGTTAACAATCTGCTTCCCAGGCCTCCGGGTTGGGGGTGGCAGGCTCTCTGGGGCGCTGTTGACAGGTCCAGACCCCTGGCTTTGGCAGCTGTTTCTTTTCCAAGAAGAGGGCTGCGGCTACCAGAACCCCCTGCCCTGTGCTGGCGGCCCAGATCACAGATGCGGGATTTTCTTTTTCATTAGCCTAATGCTGTCTTTATTAAGCGGATGGTCCCTGGAACACGTGACAGCGTGCATTCAATAAAACGCGCGCACGTGCAGCCGCCCCCCAGCCTGCCCTGCCCGGAGTCCCTGGGTCCCCGCGCGTCATCCCAGAAACGACCCAGGGCTGCCTTGGCGGCATCCAAAGGCACAAGGGGGATTTGCAGGAGGAAATTACTCAGGATGCTTCTGCGATCTGCGAAGGGGAACAAACTGGCCGGCGGGGAGCCGGAGTGGGGGAGGAGTGGCCGGGAGGGGGCAGGCTACCTTCTTCGCTCCTTGCTCCTCTTCCACTCCGTCGCCGATCACGATGTAGACGGCTTTCCTGCCGAATCTCTGCATTATCCTCTCGAAGCAGCTCTCCTTCCCTGCATGCGCGGAGGGAGGAAGGAGACCCCGCGGTGAGGTCCCAGGAGCGAGGAGCTCTGCAGCCGCCTCCGTCCTGACAGGCAGCCGGCACTGCGTCTTCCAGCGTCCCGAGCACTGGGGCCGGACCCAGGGGAACGAGGACAACGGGGACACAGAGAAGTTGCCCGGGTGTCCCAGCAGGAAGGGGCCCCGCAGGGGTGGAAAGTGGCCGACCTCTGTGGCCGTGGGGTGTGGGAGTGACGACACAGTGCCGCCGTGGTGCACCTTTGAGAACCCAGGGACTGAGGCTGCGCTGCCTCAGTGGTAGAGCTCTCGCTGAACACGTGCGAAGCCCGAGCTCCACATCCCCAGCAAGGCAAAAAAATTTAAAAAAAGAAAAAAAGAAAAAAGAGCAGGATAGTAAATCTTGATATTGTTGTTTTGACACAATTAAAACTAAAAAAGAGCCGGGTGTGGTGGCACAGGACTGTAATCCCAGCACTCAGGAGGCTGAGGCAACAGGATTGCCACGAGTTCGAGGCCAGCCTGAGCTACATCGTGAGTTCAAGGCCAGTTTGAACTACATCATGAGACCCTGTCTCAAAAGCAAAAACAAACAAACAAACAAAAATTTAAAAAAGAAGTTTTAAATACACCGGACTAGAGGCATGTAGGATGAAAGTGAGATTTGTAAGGACTTGTCGACAACTCTTTAACTGCTATTTTGACCTGAATCACTATGATTTTAAAAGCTAAAGGAATTTTTTCAGCATATTTAGACCTAGAACTTCAGTACAGGCAAAAATTGCCCTAAGAAAATGTTTCCAAAGTATTATATGTTGATTTTTTTTTTTTTTGGCTTCACATTTCTATTTAAAAATAGCATCTCAACTAGATTTATTCTCTAGTCTTATATATTTTTAGGTGACACGAGAATAAAAAAAATCAGCTCCTTCCATGAGAAAAAGAAAACCAGTATTCTCTGACACAAAGAGGAGGTGAGCGTTGTAAACTGGCGATACTGTTAATTTCTGGTGACTCAGTTCAGGAGCATAGTAATTCAGTTCAAGCTGTTCATTTCCAGTTATTCAGTTCTATTTGTTTCAACCCCGACGACAGCTCTCTGGTGTCCGGGGACCCGAGGCAGCCTGTGGACCAGGACTGGGTTCCGTAAACCTCCCAGGGGATGACGTTTTCCTTAACGATCCCCTCCCGGGGTCGGGGGAGCTCCCCTTCTCCCGTCATAGCCCGAGGTCGGCCTCTCCCTACCTGTCTTGGTGGCGCTGTAGATGTTCTCAATAGGAAACACGGACCCCAGGCCATACAGCAGGACTTTGGCTAAGGCAGGGATGAGTTGAGTGGTGGTGACTAGCACGTTGACACAGTTGGGCCTGAGGAGGGAGGAGGCTGGGTCAGACCCAGAGGGGCCACAAGGCCAGGCCTCTGCACCTTGTAGCCTGAGCCTGGAGCCAGCAGGAAAACAGGTGGAGTCGGAGGCTCAGCCAGGCCATCTTCAAGTGGGCTGGGCCCAGGGCTCCTCCAGCGATTCCTCTCCTGGAAGCCTAACGCTGCCTGACACTGGAATACAATCGGTGTAATACTTTTCTCATTTAAAAGCAAAGCTGCATTTTACCGCAAAAGCCACATATTTGATGAGGTGCACGGGCCCAGGTTATGTAAAGGAGTGATACGGGCAAATGTAAGACGATAGAGAGCCCCGGGGGTTCTGGGGTGCCGTGGGGAGCACAGGCCAGTCCTGATGCAGGATCCTGGGGACCTGTTGGACCCCAGAAAGTCTCTCCCCTATTTGCTCAGCTCCGCCAGCAGTGCAAGGTTTCCACTGTGCCTTGCACGCTTACACTTTAGCAAATGTCTAGAAAGTGTGCAAGTGAGAACCTGGGGGTCCAATACCCCCAAATAAGGAAACGGAAGAGAAGCCACCACCGTGTCCTGGAGAAAGCTCGTCGCACACAGGAAAATGGGGCTGCACTTGCCGGGAATTGATGAGGTTTAGGGCTTTCAAGGAGTGGGTCAGCCAGAGGTCCGTCAGCGCCTCCAGCTCGGCGCGGAGCTGCAACCACGTCTCTCTTTTGGGAGCTCCTATCAAACCTGGAGACAAAGGAAAGAAAGATGCAACCATCGTGTCAGAAAGGTCTGGGGGGACCTGGGGATATAGCTCAGTGGTGCAGTGCCTGCCTGGCAAGCACCAGGTCCTGAGTTTGATTCCTGATGGTACAAAAAAAAAAAAAAAAAAAAAAAAAGAAAGGTCTGGGAGCAGAGTTAGGAAAAGAGAGGCCTGGGAGCAGAGTTAGGGAAAAGGAGTGTAGCTACTGTACCCCCAGTCTTCAAATCACATGACACCCAAGGTCAGCTTCAGTCCTGCGGCCCCTCTTCATCTTATCCTGGCACTAAATGACTGATTCATCTTTTCACCAACTCTACCCATCCCCCCATTCATCCATCCACCCATTCATTCACTTGCCCACCCATCCACCGACAAACCCATCCATCCATCCATCCATCCA